AAATATATAAAATCTTTAAAAAAAAAAAAAGGTGGAGATAGTGTAGTCTCAGGGAAGAGTTAGGGAAAAAAACAGCAGAGGAAACTCTTCCGGAATTACAGGGACACTGTGGATCTACATGGAGGGCACAGGCGCCCACGGCTCGGGACCCCAGCTGCTAAGAGTCTCCTCGGCACCAGTGCTGGAAAGAGAGGTGAGGTGAAACTGCAGTAGCCCGAGACACTGGCGGAAAAGCAGCAGGAAGAGCCTAAAGTGAACAAGGCTTGAAGCCCCATGAGGGAAAGTACACCAGCCTAACTAGATGGGGGAAAAAATAAAAGGAATGGTACGGACACAATTCTCTCTCCACTCATCTTATGAAGGCGTCTGAGACAATAGAGCAGGGCCATTTTGGACATACGTAACAGCTGCGCTAGCTTGGGGCTGCGCCCACCCTCAGCCAAGCAGAAAAACCTGACTCTGGTGGGGAGTAATAACAGGAGACTAAGACCTAGTGAATATGTGGGGCTTATGAACCGGGACTGTGGAAAAAAAAAACAACTGAGGGTGTGTGGGAGAACTCACGGTGTGGCTGAGACATAAGTAGACTTGGTGGGAGACACCACAAGCTCGGGTGGCCCTGGCCAGCCATTGAGAGACATTGCAGGGAATTCTGAGCTTGCACGGAGGACTGCACAGATCCTTGGGACACAGCAGATGAATATTATACCCACTGGGGCTAGCACTGAGGCACTGATCGCCACTTAGGAGAAGAGCTCAACTGAGCGGAATTTCTTCCCTTCTGATTAAAAAAAGAGAGAGAGAAGATTTACCACACCAAACTTGGGTGTGTCAATTAGGCACACACTTAACCCTGAAAAACTGAACAGAGCTCTCTGGCCACACCAACCATAAGCGTCCAGAAAGTCACCAAAAGCAGACAGTCCACGTAATCTAGAGTCATAGTATAATGAGAAAAGCCACCACAGAGGGGGAAAAAAAAGAGAAACCAAAGAATATCTCCACAATGCCAAACAACAAATGCAAAAACCGAGGAAACAAGAACAAGGAAGACAACATGACACTCCCAAAAGAACATGACACTCTAATATAAGATTATGAAGATGATGACATAGCGGAAATGCAAGAAATGTAACTCAAAAAATTTATGATAAGAATATTTAGAAGTAATCAAAACCAAATGCATGAACTACTGAAATCCATGCAGAACATGGCAGAAAATCTCATTAAAATGAAATCTTAAGGAGGAATCAAAATGAAATGAGGAATTTAATAGAACATGAAATTGAGATATTAAAGCAAAATCAAAATGAAATGAAGAATTCAACAGAACAAATAAAAACACAGTTGAGAGCTTTAAAAACAAAATCACTGAGGCAGAAGAGAGAATATCGGACTTAGAAAACAGAGCACAGGAAAGTATACAGTCAAAGCAAAGCAGAGGAAATTAGAAATCTAAAAAATATTGTTGGGAATCTACAAGATACTATTTAAAAAACCAATAAGGTAACAGCAGATTTAATCAACAAAATTGACCAAACAGATCTAACAGATATCTACAGAACTTTTCATCCTACACTTGCAGAATACACATTCTTCTCAGCAGTGCATGGAACCTACTCTAGGATTGACCACATACTAGGCCATAAAGCAAGTCTCAGCAAACTCAAAAGAATCAGAATCATACCATGCAGCTTCTCAGACCACAGTGGAATGAAGCTGGAAATTAGTAACTCAGGAATCCCTAGAGCATATGCAAACACATGGACACTGAACAAAATGCTCCTGAATGAATACTGGGTTGTAGAAGAAATCAAAAGAGAAATCAAAAACTTACTGGAAGCAAATGAAGATAACAACACAACATATCAAAAATGATGGGATAGAGCAAAAACAGTGTTAAGAGGAAAGTTTATATCAATAGGTGCCTACATCAAGAAATTGGAAAGGCACCAAACAAATGAGCTATCAATGCATCTCAAGGATTTAGAAAAACTGCAGCAAACCAGACCCAAAATTAGTAGAAGAGAAAAGATTGCAAAAGATCAGCAAAACAAAGAGCTGTTTTTTTGAAAAAATAAACAAAATTGACACCCCATTGGCCCAACTAACTAAAAAAATGAGAGAGAAGTCCCAAATCAATAAAATCAGAGATGAAAAAGGGAATGTAACAACAGACACCACAGAAATAAAAAGAATCATCAGAAATTACTACAAGGACTTGTATGCCAGCAAACAGGGAAATCTATCAGAAATGGATAGATTCCTGGACACATGCAACCTACCTAAATTGAACCACGAAGACATAGACAACCTAAACAGACCCATAACCGAGTCAGAAATTGAATCAGTAATAAAGGCCCTCTCAACAAATAAAAGCCTAGGACCAGATGGATTTACTGCTGAATTCTACCAGACATTTAAAGAAGAACTAACTTCAATTCTTCTCAAACTATTCAGAACAATTGAAAGAGAGGGAATCCTCCCAAATTCTTTCTATGAAGTCAGCATCACCTTAATTCCTAAACCTGAAAAAGATGCAGCATTGAAAGAGAATCACAGACCAATTTCCCTGATGAACATAGACGCAAAAATCCTCCATAAAATTCTGGCCAATAAAATGCAACAATACATCAGAAAGATCATCCACCCAGAACAAATAGGATTTATCCCTGGTAAGCAGGGATGGTTCAACATCTGCAAATCAATCAATGTGATACACCATATTAACAAACTGCAGAAGAAAAACCATATGATTATCCAACTAGATGCAGAGAAAGCATTTGATAAAATACAAATTCCTGGCCAGCGCCACAGCTCACTAGGCTAATCCTCCGCCTGTGGTGCCGGCACACCAGGTTCTAAACCCAGTCAGGGAGCCGGATTCTGTCCCGGTTGCTCCTCTTCCAGTCCAGCTCTCTGCTGTGACCCGGGAGTGCAGTGGAGGATGGCCCAAGTCCTTGGGCCCTGCACCCGCATGGGAGACCAGGAGAAAGCACCTGGCTCCTGGCTTCGGATGAGTGTGGTGTGCCGCCCACAGCACACCAGCCACAGCGGCCATTGAGGGGTGAACCTACAGAAAAAGAAGACCTTTCTCTCTGTTTCTCTTTCACTGTCTACTCTGCCTGTCCAAAAAAAAAAAAAACAAAAAACAAAAACAAAAACAAAAAAAAACAACATCCTTTCATGATGAAAACTCTAAGCAAATTGGATATAGAAGGAACATTCCTGAATACAATCAAACCAATTTAGGAAAAACCCACGGCCAGCATCCTATTGAATGGGGAAAAGTTGGAAGCATTTCCAATGAGATCTGGTACCAGACAGGGATGCCCACTCTCACCATTGCTATTCAATATAGTCCTGGAAGTGTTAGCCAGAGCCATTAGGCAAGAAAAAGAAATTAAACGGATTACATCAAATTGAGGAGTTTTTGTTCTAGAAAAGAAACAGAAAAGTGAAGAAGTAATCAGTTTTAGTTCATAATTGATCATAATGATAGGATTAAGTGTTAAAGAGATCACATAAACAAAACTAGTGTCTGCTAATACTAACTGATATAATTAAAAAGGAGAGAATGATTCGACATGGGAAGCAGGATACCCAGCAGATTCATAGAATGGCGGATGTCCTAAACAGCACTGTGGCTTCAGAATCAGCCCTTAAGGCATTTGGATCTGGCTATAAAGCCCATGAGAGTGTTGAAGGCATGGAAAGCCAAGACAAAAAAAAAAAAAAAAAAAAAAAAAAAGACCTAAATGAAAGATCTCTGTGAGTGAGATTCCAGTGGAAAGAACGGGCCATCAAAGAAGGAGGCACCTTTCTCTGAAGGGAGGAGAGAACTTCTATTTTGACTATGGCCTTGTCAAATTAGATTGGAGTTGGTGAACTCGAGAGGCTTCCATAGCCTTGGCAGCTCATGACAAGAGCCTAGGGTGGGCCGGTGCTGCGGCTCAATAGGCTAATCCTCCACCTAGCGGTGCCGGCACACGAGGTTCTAGTCCTGGTTGGGGCGCCGGATTCTTTCCCGGTTGCCCCTCTTCCAGGCCAGCTCTCTGCTGTGGCCCAGGAAGGCAGTGGAGGATGGCCCAAGTGCTTGGGCCCTGCACCCCATGGGAGACCAGGATAAGCACCTGGCTCCTGCCTTCAGATCAGCACGGTGCGCTGGCCGCAGCGCACCAGCCATGGCGGCCATTGGAGGGTGAACCAACGGCAAAAAGGAAGACCTTTCTCTCTGTCTCTCTCTCTCTCACTATCCACTCTGCCTGTCCAAAAAAAAAAAAAAAAATAAAAGAGCCTAGGGTGATTACTGACATCATAAATAAGAGTGTCAACTGTTAAATAATTCAAAAGTTGTACCTTGGAAATTTATATTTATAAATAAAAGTTGAAAAAAATAAAAAAATAAAAATAGAATAAAAACTATACTTTTACTAATTTGTACTGTATTACCCTGAGAAAATAAGGTCATACATAGTTCATGTAATAAGGGCCTCCATTTTCAGTGAGAAAATATGAATATGTGAATATGTAAGAATAAGCCATTTAAATATAAAAAATTTGTGATATTAAAACACCATTTCAGCAATATATTTCATACTTCTAGTAAATAATTAACTATTTCCCTTACAGTAAAATCTTAAAAAGTTTATCTTTTAAGCAAGCAGTACTATGACAGGTAGAAAGAAGAGTTCAGCTTTAGAGTATTATAATTCAAAGTACCCTCATGCATCCTCTGCAACAATACAAAATTTTGGATCACCAATGTTAACATTAACATATGTTCTAGTTGCATGCCTTACACACACACACATACACTCACACACACATAATTTATTCTCAGTCTTTCTCCCCTACCCTCCTCATTCTTTATTTCTCTCTTTTCCCATATATAGACATATGTGGAAAAACAGAGGAAAGGAATAGACATGGCGAATACTAGGCTCCATAAACTAGCTGTATAATTATATAAAAGACATAAAAATTATGAAAACACTTACTTCATCAGCCACCATACACCTAGAAAAAATAAAAACAAAACCAAATTAATTTCCTAATTATGAATATCAACCATTTTAAAAGTTCTGATTAAGTAACTTGCTAAAAAATATTTTACAAATGCTAATGTACTAAGCCAGAATGAAGTGGTTTCAAGTGTGTGAGAACATGGGCCAGTGTTGAATTTATACCACCCTCCAGCTGTTAAAGGCATGTGGCTGTGCGGGAAAGTTAGAAATTCTGCTGTGCCATTCTCATGGTCTATCCATGGAGATGGCTAATGGCAAATAGGTAATGGCCAGTAACTTCCTTCAAACCTTAAGACTGGTCTTCCCCAAGATGGGAAGAACGTTTTATTGAAGTATAAGAAAAATAAATGTTCCGGTGAGCATTTTAAGGGGTCAAGTCCCTCCTCTCATATGGACTCTGGTTTGAGTCCTGGCTGCTCCACCCCCAATCTAGCTCCCTGCTAATGTGCCTGAGAAAGCAGCGGAAGATGCCTGATCCTTTGGTCTCTACAACCATGTGGGAGGCTTGGATGAAGCTCCTGAATCCTGGCTCTGGCCTGGCCCAGACCCATGGACCAGTGGATGGAAGATTTCTCTTTCTCTCTTGCTCTCACTCTCTCTCTGTAATTCTACCTTTCATATAAATGAAATAAATCTTTAAAAAACAAAAGAAGGGGCCAGCGCTGTGAGGTAGTGGACTAAGCCTGCGTCTGTGGCACCCACATCCCATTTGGGTGCCAGTTCGTGTCCCAGTTGTTTCTCTTTCCATCCAACTCTCTACTGTGTCCTTGGAAAGCAGTGGAAGATGGCCCAAGTCCTTGGTCCCTGCACCTGTATGGGAGACCGAGAAGAAGCTCCTGGCTCCTGGCTTTGAATCAGCTCAGCTCTGGCCATTGAGGCCATTTGGGGAATGAACCAGAGGATGGAAGACCTTTCTGTCTCTCCCTCTCTATGTCTGTAACTCTACCTCTTGAATAAAGAAATAAATCTTTTTTTTTTTAAAGAAAAATATGTTAATCACATGTTAGCACAAATTAAACAAAATTAAGGTCATAAATAGAAAAAAGAAAGAAAAGAACAGAGGAAAATAAGAACATGTAGAGTCAGGATCACCAGGGGGTTCTTTGATATGGTGAGCACATTACTAGGAGAAGGACCAACCTATTAACTGAGGCACTCTGCAACCATCTTAAAAGTACTACTAAGAATTGGAAAGGAAGAAAGTCCCAGTTTCTATATGTTTGTTTTATTTCTAATACTGTTATATAATCTTATAGGATTTATTTTAATATAAAATATAAATTAAGAATCTGGAGTGCATATATCAATAAGGAGTAAGTTATACTAAGTGGAACATAGTTATTAAAAAGCCCAAACATGCTAAATTAATCAGTATCTTTATGGAAAAAATATAAATAGTTTGATTGACACTTAAAAGATATATTAAGAGTAAAAAGTTTACTACATTGTTTATAAAGAAAGCCTTAAAAATAGGAAATTAAAGTGCAATACTTGGAAAAAGTTCATTTTTTTTCAGGGAAGATTCATCTGTACACTTACTTTTCCTTTAATTATCCAAGTCAAATTTGTTAAAAGTGTCACTTGAACAGTACATTGTTTATTGAATAATGCATTGTTTATTTGCCTGGCACTGTTTTGGTAATATAACAATTAATTAAAAAGCACTTCCCTCATGGAAAGTGACAGAAGGAAAATAAAGAAATATATGATTCAAGTGGTGCTAAGTGCTAATACAAAAACTCAAAGAGGATAAGATAGAACGGGAAATGTAGAGGACAAAGGAGCTATTTTACTTTTTGGTTAGGAATAGCTCTCTGAAAAGGCAATCTGAATGGAGTAAGACATATATTTAATGAGGAAGGAAATCTGGAGGAAGAATATTTTAAACAAAGTGATCAGTAAGTGCAAAGATGGTTATTATGTAGTTAAGGAACAGCCAAAACAGACAATGTGACTAAAGGGAAACAAGCATGGGGAAGTAGTAGAAATAAAACTGGAAGACAGTTGGAGCCTGGGCCATGGAAAAATTTATAAGCAGTGGCATGGAGTTAGATTTTCTTAGACTCTTTTTAAGGAAAGTAATGCTTTATATTTTACAAAGAAAACTCTGGGATAGAGAGAAACTATAGAAACCAAGAGCAGTAGGAAGGTCATGCAGTAAACCAGAAGAGAAACAAGGATGGATGAGCGTGCATGTGCAGGTAGTGAGAGGTGGTTGTTTTAGGGCACATTTTGAAAGTAGAACCAGTAAAATCTGCTGATTGGGATGAGGATACAAACGAGAAAGAAGTTAAGAATATTCTTAACTTATTAGCATAAGCAATAAAATGTGAAGAAAGAATGGTGGTGGTGCCATTTACAGATAGAAGACAGACTGGGAGAGTTACAGTTTTGGAAATGACAGAAGTTCAGTCTACAAAGGCAACTTTTACGATAGCTATTACATCTCCAAGTCAGATTGTTGAGTAAATCACTGGATATTGGAGTTGGAGGAGTTGTAAACTGGAGATATAACAAATTTCAGACCCATCGGAATCAGTGATGATTTAGTGTATTCTGAAACATATCAACCTAACTGTGGTTTATTTCTTTCTTTATTCAATTTCAACTTCTTCAACTTCTAAATTGAGTTGCTCACAGCTGCAGATTACTGGATAAGATTTAGGACACTAGTATGTAGCTAACCTGCTCTTCATAGGGAACTGGCATGCAGCTAAACTGTCCTGAGGGTGGCTAACTAACTGTAAAGCCGTTTGAGAGCCCTGGGCAAAAACTGAGGGCTGTGGGTCACAGGGTTATATAGCTTTTATATATATATATATGTACTTATATATATATATATATAGTTTTCTATATATAGTTTTCTGTTATCTGAAAACTTTCTGGGTAAGATCAACTTGGATTCCTCTGAATGAGCTAGATTTTCCTAATATGAAGTTGGTTCATGGGTCCTGCTTACTTCAGACACTGATAAAGATTAAGTAGATAAATGGCATGAGGCATTCTTCAGCGATCTCCAGCAGGGGCAGACCTAATCCAGCCTCTGAGATTCCTGCAGTTGAGGATAGTTCAGCAACCAGACCAGATTTCCAACAACTTATCAGATAATAGTAACTGACCCAATAGGAGGCCTCAACATTTGAAAGAGTGAGTAATCAACATATCTAGTGGAAAAGGTGCTAGAAAAGATAGGCAAACACAAAAATTGTCAGAGCACTTAGGTAAATTCAAAGTACCAACACACACACACTCTAAAGCTCATGTTCAGACCAAATGTTCAGACCAAAACCACGTTCAGATCAAAATGAGTAGATCAGTTTTTTTAAAAAAAGGTGATCATTATCAACAGCTGAATACTAGACAGGAAAATGCAGTGTATCTCAATGCACTGAACAGAAAACTAAGTCAATTGAAATGGCACTCTTTGGCCTCAGCTGACAACAGGCCATCCAAACTCTGGCCACATGAGCCACAGCCTCTGCTGGCAGTGTCAGCAAGCACCAGCAGCACCTAGGAGGCCGAAGTCATGGTGGTGGCAGGAAACACCAAGGGATCAACTTGGACAAATACCATCCAGGTTACTTTGGCAAAGTTGGTATGAAGCATTACCACTTAAAGAGGAACCAGAGCTTCTGCCCACTGTCAACCTTGATAAGTTGTGGCCCTTGGTCGGTGAGCAGACATGGATAAATGCTGCCAAAAACAAGCCTGGAGTTGCTCCCATCACTGAGGTGGTGTGACTGGACTGTCACAAAGTTCTGGGGAAGGGAACGCTCCCAGAGCAGCCTGTCATCACCAAGGCCAAATTCCTCCACAGAAGAACTGAGAAGGCTGAGGGTGTGAGGGCAGCCTGTCTCCTGGTAGCTTGAAGCCACATGATTCACTTAATGCTAACAAATGTTTTTCAAAAAGCAAATCAAGAAACTGAAACAGTGAAGGAAAAGAAAACAAAACATTTGAAGGATAGTTCCAAAAAAACCCAAAATATATGAAAAATGGATGTTTTAAAGAGGAAAGGGTACATATGGAAGACAAGCAGAAATTGCATAAGGAACCTTTCTATAGGTGGAAGAAAGATCTCTGATGGATAAGTGAAAAGAGAAACCAAGTTGCAGGTTGGATTGAAGAGAAAAACAAGACTCTGCTGATACCCTTATAAAATTAATTAATCTTAAGACTAAAACCTTGTAAGTGTCCAGACAGAACAACTACCCACAGAAGGCAAAACAAGGGCTTCATTAGTCTTATCATCAGCACTGGAAACTACAAAGCAATTAACAGTATCTAGACTACTTGACAGAAGAACTCATGGATCTAATACCCAGCAAAGATACCCTTTATTTGGAAGAGATGGAAAAATGATATTTGGGACTTACCAAGATCTCTTATAGTACATCACTCATGCAAACCATTGAAGGAAAAATACTTAAGAAAATAACCAACCAGTAAACACACTTTAACACAAATTCGAGACAGGAGAAGATGAAAAGGAAATATGGTTAGCAATTAACCTTGACAGGTGACAACTTAAAGGACGATGGTGTATTCTAAATTGACTTTAGAAACAGAAGAAACACAATCTGAAAATCCGGATGTGCAAAAGTGAAGGGAAGTAATGGAGGAGAGAGGTTCTGAAGGTATTCTATAGTAAAATACCAGAGAGGTGATATTTTGTCAGGAGACTAGATGAGATCACTTAGGGAGGAAGAGAATAAGGAGAAAGCAAGAGAGGAAAGGGGAATTGTTCAATGAGTACAGACTTTCAGCTTTGCAAGATGAAAAAGTTGCAGAGCTCTGCTGCACAACAGGGAAACACAATTAACACTATTGTACTGTATACTGAAGATGGTAAATTTTATATGTTATATGACTTTTCCACAATGGGAAAATAAAGTGTATAAAGACGACAGTCACATACTAAGCCCTGGAGCACTCCAATAACTAGAGGTCACAACGGATTCAGCAAATGAGACTGAGAAGCAATACCCAGTT